CACCACTAACACTGCGAGGGAGGCTCCATCTATTGGTGGGGAGCAGCACCTGCTGGAAAGCGGGTCCAGCGTCCCTGAACATTGTTGTTGTTTGTGTGAATAAACATACACCGCCTTTTCCTACTACTATCCCACCTCAGTGTTAATCACCTTGGACTATCACCTCGTTATCTCCGAGCATGACTTGGAATGAATAGCAGTTACAGGCACCAGGACTAGGCAGGCTCAACAGGACAAGCCGGGGCATCCATCTGTTAAAATTGGAAGGATAGTAGGATACACAGTTTTTTTTTTCTTTTCAACGTACTTTCATTAAATGATATTGAGGCCGGGGAAACCTCACAATACCCCGTTGGAACTTGGTGCTGGGGTCCAGTTGATGTGGCTCAGTGGTTAGAGCACCGGTTGGAAATGCGCATTGTGGTATGAGGTTGCATGTTCAAAACTCAATTGCAGCCTTGCGCATGGACACCGGCAGGGCGTTAGAATGACGCACGGCTGGACACACATTCCCTTGGGCTGACGCACGGTAAACTTATACAGACACTGCCTGCGCACCACCCAAGGGTTGTCCATGGTGTTGTATGTCGGGTCTTGATACTGCGTGGGTTGCTTGTGGCTGTTGCTCGTGGTTGTTCTGTTGATCTCCCCAGTCTGGCATATCACACACGGGGGCCGTTTGCGATTGTTGCTCAAATGGTAGAGTCTTCAGGTCACATGTCATAGATCACGGGTTCGAGTCTGGCTGGGGACTTTGGGGGGGGTTCTTGTCCAGCTTGGCCTGTCATCTCTTCAAACGAACACATAGTTCCCTCTACATAGCACTGCACATATCTGGCCTTCAGGCACATACATCTCGCTATACAGTTACACAGAGCACACATAGACTGACATATCTGGCCTTCGGGCACGTACATCTCGCTATTCAGGTACACAGAGCACACAGCACCTTTGGGCAGATACAAAAACACATGGCCCTATGGGCTCATACAAACATACATAGCCTTAGGGCATACACGCATACACACAAATTACGATACTGGGCCGGGGGGGTCTATCAGGTATATTACGGGGTCTACTCACGCATGGCTTAGCTCTAGGGTAGGGGTAGGGATATAAGTCGCTCTGGCTAGTCTGAGCTCCGCCTAGCCTTGGGTAAGCTAGGGGAAGGACGGTAGGATGTGTCCGTGGGCGCTGGCCTGCCTTGCTTAGGTAATCTCGCTGGGTAAACTCTCTGAATTGGGCCTGTAGAAGATTGTATGAGACTGGCATCCGAAGTTCCCGTACGGCAAGGTTCGTCCACTTCCGCTTCCATCAGGGCTGGGAGGTTGGCCCAGCCTTGGTGCTTGTCACTGCTGTCTGGTCCAAGTTGCCCTCGATACTGGTAGGGTGATGGTCCTGAGTACTGGTCACACTGAGGTAGGATAGTAGAGGCAGGGGGTGCGCTGGGAGTATTAACGTGGGGATGGGTAGGGTAGGTGGCCTATCCTGTGAGGACAACCATTGGCTGCCGCTACTAGCAATCACCGCGGGTCTGGTCCTTGGCCTCTAAAACACCATGGGCTGGTGCTGGAAGCATCATCCAGCTTAGCTTGCAGGGTAAAAACCCTGCAACACTCCCAAACATGGACCCACATACTACTCTACTCTCCGGGTCCAAGGGAAGTGTCCCTAGTCCTACCCTACTTCCTGACTGAACACTATTCTAGCGGAACTACCAACTAAGTTCCTATAGTCCAAATCCTAAGCCTTTTTTTTTTTGTTTTTTTTTAAACCCTTGCGACTACGCTAGGGTTGCCTGGTTGCTCCAATCTATCGGTGGGGAGCAGCACCTGCTGGAAAACGGGTCCAGGGTCCCACTGAACATCTTCAAAACCGATTTTCACACTGTCCCCTGCCAGCATTGATTTCCCGTATTACTGGGGATTGACTGCGCAGGCACTGTCCCACCTGACCAAAAGCTAAATCCTAAGTCTAACTTAATCTAGGGCTAAAATTACACCGACCAGGCCTAAGGTGGCACCGGGTTTCAAACCGACCTCAAGCGGCGGGCGGGGGCCTAAAAGGGCGCCTGCATAGGAAGATGCTCCAACCATCCCAACATACCCTCATTCTTCTGCCCTTCTACTGCGAAGTTCAGGACAGAGCATCCGGGTCCTGATAAACAGAAGATTGGCAAGGCCCCTGCGCAAGGATAAACACCCCAAAAGAAGAAGAAGAAGAAAATGAGCATCCTCCCTAAGTAGACCTGTGGGTGTGAAGGGTCCAGCCTATTGGTGGAGTCTTCGCCTCCATTTTTCTTTTTTTTCCCTTTCTATTCTATTTTGAAAAGCTCAGGGTGTTGTAGAGGCCAGTGACCAGACACACGGTGATTGCTGGCATCAGGCAGCCAATGGTTGTGCTGACTAGAGGCCAGTGACCAGACACACGGTGATTGCTNGCTGGCATCAGGCAGCCAATGGTTGTGCTGACTAGAGGCCAGTGACCAGACACACGGTGATTGCTGGCATCAGGCAGCCAATGGTTGTGCTGACTGGGTGGGCCACCTCCCAACCCATCCTCACGTAGCACATCCCCTATCCCTGCTATGCTACCTCAGTGTGGCCAGCACTCGGGACCACCACCCTACCAGTATTGAGGGCAACAAGGACCGAATAGCAGTGGAAGCGGAAGCTGACGAACCTTGACGTACGGGAACTTGGGACAAAAGGCTTATGCAATCTTCTACAGGCCCCAGTGGTCAGAGAGTCTACCGGACTCGACCCGATAAGCTGGCACAAGCACGTAGGTAAGGCGAGCTGGCGCCCACGGACACATCCTACCATCCTTCCCCTAACTTACCCAA